TGTGCCCCATCTCTGAAATACTGTCCCTATCCACTTTGTCAATTCCTCTCAGCATTTTATATATTATCATGCCTCCTGTCCTCCAGTGTGGTCAGGTTGATTTCCCTTAACCTCACCTCATAGGACATACCCCGAATTTCCAGGAATATTCTTGATGCATGCGTGTGTGCGTGCGCAAATGTGTGTGTATGTCTGTGTCTCTCTGTCTCTGTACTCACCTAGTTGTAGTTGTAGGGGTCAATTCACAGCTCCTGGCCCCACCTCTTCACTGGTCGCTATTAGGTCACTCTTCCTGCTCTATGAGCTTTATCATACCTCTTCTTAAAGCTATACTGTATACGGATTCTGCCTCCACTACATCACTTCCCAGACTGTTCCACTTCCTGACAACTTTGTGACTGAAGAAATACTTCCTAACATCCCTGTGATTCATCTGAGTCTTCAACTTCCAATTGTGACCCCTTGTTGCTGTGTCCTATCTCTGGAACATCCTGTTTCTGTCCACCTTGTCAATTCCTCTCAGTATTTTATATGTTATCATATCCCCCCCCCCTATCTCTCCTGTCCTCCAGTATAGTCAGGTCGATTTCCCTTAACCTCTCCTTGCCGGACATGCCCCTTAGCTCCATGACTAGTCTTGTTGCAAACCTTTGCACTTTCTCTAATTTCCTTACGTGCTTGGCTAGGTGTGGATACCAAACTGGTGCTGCATAATCCAATATAGGCCTGACATAGAGGGTGTACAGGGTCCTGAACGATTCCTTATTGAGATGTTGGAATGCAATTCTTAGGTTTGCTAGGCGCCCATGCGTGTGCGTGTGCACATGTGTGCGTCTAGAGAGAAGAATACAAAATTGTTAGGAGAACAACAGTAGATTAGGTAACATGATGCAACTTTGGTAAAAAAAAACACTAACAAGCACTGATTAAATTAATACCAACAGGAAATGTGGAAGGGTTTTCCTGGAGGCGGCAACACTTGCTGTATGGGTCAGCAGGGGAAAGCGCTGGGGGTGCTCCATGGTCACTTGTTGCCCTCAAAACATGTTTATGGAAGCTATCCTTGACATGTTATACTGTTCTGGACAGGCTGATGCCACCTTCATTTAAATTCCTCTCAATAATTTATCAACGTAAATTCTTACTTGAGTTACATAGCTGTTTTATTTTTAAGTTATAATTGTGGCTGATTTCTGCTGTATCCTACAATTAGGCTTTAAATAACATATTACAAGGACTCCAATGGAAATAAGTCACTTCATCAAACTTTTTTGGGGTTACCCAAGGTAATTTACACATATGTTACTATGTATGATAATTGTAGTCACCTAAATTTAACTTTACTTATGTGTACCTGTACCAAAATAAACTTACTTAATATAGTAGGCTGGTAGACAGCAACCACCCAGGAAGGTACTACCGTCCTGCCAAGTGAGTGTGAAACGAAACCTGTAATTATTTTACACGATGGTAGGATTGCTGGTGTCTTTTTGTTTGTCTCATAAACATGCAAGATTTCAGGTACGTCTTGCTACTTCTACTTACATTTAGGTCACACTGCACATGCATGTACAAGCATATATATACACACCCCACTGGGTTTTCTCTGTTTTTCTTACTAGTTCTTGTTTATTTCCACTTATCCCCATGGGGAAGTGAAACAGAATTTTTCTTCCGTAAGCCATGCGTGTTGTAAGAAGTGACTAAAATGCCAGGAGCAAGGGGCTGGTAACCCCTTCTCCTGTATATACATGTATTACTAAATGTAAAAGGAGAAACTTTCGTTTTTCCTTTTGGGACACCCCACCTCAGTGGGATACGGCCAGTGTGTTGAAAGGAGAATATAATATATATATATATATATATATATATATATATATATATATATATATATATATATATATATATATATAGAATTGACGAGGGAAAAAAGGTGAGTGGTGCACTGAAGTCTGTGAAGACAAAGAACTTTGTCCATGGAAGCAAAGAGGGGAATTTATGAGAGTATAGTTATACCAATGCTCTTATATGGGTGCAAAGCATGAGTGGTGAATGTTGCAAGAAGGAGAAGGCTGGAGGCAGTGGAGATGTCGTGTCTGAGGGCAATGTGTGGTATGAATATATTGCAGAGAATTCGTAGTTTGGATATTAGGAGGAGGTGCGGGATTATCAAAACTATTATCCAGAGGGCTGAGGAGGGGTTGTTGGGGTGGTTCGGACTTGTAGAGAGGCTGGAAGGAAATTGAATGACTTGGAGTGTATAAATCTGTAGTGGAGAGAAGGCAGGGTAGAGGTCGGCCTAGGAAAGGTTGGAGGGAGGGGATTAAGGAGGTTTTGTGCGAGGGGGCTTGGACTTCCAGTAAGCATGCGTGAGCATGTTAAGATAGGAGCGAATGGAGACAAATGTTTTTAGGACTTGACATGCTGTTAGTGTGAGTAAGTTAATATTTATGAATTGATTCAGGGAAACCGGCAGGCCAGACTTGATTCCGATGGGAAGTACAGTGCCTGCAATCTAAAGGAGGGGTGTTAATGTTGCAGTTTTATAACTGTAGTGTAAGCGCACCTCTGGCAAGACTAATTGAAACCAAAGCTGTAGTTTTTGTCATACCATGTGGAGAATCCGAAAAATAAAATATGTGGGGGAAACAGCTAGTGACATGAGTAGTCATGTCAATGAGCATAAATACGTTTACCTCGCTGACAATGTTAATAATGCATGTGTCCTTCACAGGAATAGCCACGACCACCTGATGAAATGAAATAATGCTAAACTTATTGTGACCATCTGATTAAAATGATTTTTAGCTAAATATGGCGAAGTTGATTTTAGGCCGTCAGGACATAGCCATCAAGTGATTCATTTATTATTTTTTTTTCACCCAACCCACACTGCTACTGACCTCTATGACCCTTGTGGGTTTAGCGCTTAGTTATGATAATTATACACTACTGACCGGCATGCTATATATTTCTTTCTTTTTGTATTTGTTTCGGATTGATAAAACCCTGGTGGGCGAAGTGTTTCCATAATGAAGTATTATTTACCATGTGTGTAATATAAAACTCTTGCTGGCCAAAGTATTTTTGTTGTTGGCCATCATACTGTTGGTCAGTGTGCAGTTCCGCGTTATTTTTCTCGTCTCTGCTGTACCTTACATACAATACAAAAATATTATTTATTTCTGTTGCAGACTCAATCATTAAAAAAGCTACACAGCCATTAACCACCGATGAGGACTGTGTACTGGTAACACACCAACGCTTTTTTTTTTTTGTGACTCGTATCGGACTAGACAAACTGGGCTGCGGACGGGTGAGTTGGCTGGCGTTCATTTAGGTAGGTAGGCGGGGACAGGAAGAGTTTGTCGGACCAGTTTTTTTCTGCAGTTGTAAATGATTTATGACTGTACTTGGTGCTACTCACCCACACCCCTCAGCCTAAGTACTTTCCACACAGCAATAATAATAATAATAGTAAAGCTCGTGTCCTTGGGTACATCATTCCCCACGGAGGATGGGATGGTTGAAGTTGGTTTCAACGTGGCTCTAGATAACTTACTGAATGATGTTACGTTTCTGTTGGATACTTTTTTTTTTTTATTTAAAATATACAGTATACATGCATATTACACATTGACGGAGTCACAATACATGAAACATTTATAAGAAAACATCCTTATAACTAACGGATGACAACCTACCCTTGAACATACATAATAAAATTGCCACTAGCCAAAAACTGACATTTATATTCATATCTTGTATGAAACTGTATATACAAATGTTTTTATATATAAAACAAATGCTTTGGCCTCTTACTGTACATTGTAATATTAGCATTTTATGTACCTAAACATTCCGTAGCTATTCATCCCCTAATATTGTATGTTTTATTTAGAGCACAGGTATACAATATACATGTAATCATACATGATTGACTGAAATCACTAAACATGAAGCTATAATAAGAAATACACCATCCTTGTAACTAAACGATTTACTACCCACACCGTAACAAAAAATGCTACAAAACTTGCATGTATAAAATCTGTATATGTAACTGTAAACCATACATGAAAAACTTGCATCAAGAACATAGCACTTAACAAAAACAGTACCAGGGTTGTGACCTAAATTAATATACACTTTAAATGTACCAAAACCAAACATATATAAATTTTTACATAAAACAAAGTGACATTAAACAATAAGTTGATACATGCCTCCTCTCACCACACACAAGGTACACATATGAATAGTTTGAAAAAAAAAAAAAAAAGCGTAATCCGTATATGTGCATATAATCCTATCTCATTAACCTCCATTCAGAGATGAACCCTTAAAAGGGCAACGTTCAATACTGTCTCCTATAACAAAACATTCTATTAACACCCCCCCCCCTCTTCTCCCTCATTTAGACAACCACCACTGTCTCTCGGCAGCATACAGTTCCCTGTCGCTCAGTCTCCCAGCTGTACATGAGCATATAAGCCTGTCACATCGCAACAGTATCTCAATCACAACAAACCACACCCAAGCATTCTTACTGCATACATGCATACAGTACCTCTAAACAATAATATATACCTCAACCCTCTGACAGAGGTGTGATGGTAAGTGACCAAGCAATCGTTTCTGTTGGATACTAATGCAGTATGAACTTCGTAACTTGAGACACGTAAGTTTCCTCGTCTTCTAATAACACGCTCACTTTTCCACTATAATCTACCTTGTCCATTATTAATATCGCATTTGCTTTGTCTGTTTCGTAAGGTGAAGTATAAATTAAGGAAAGATCATAGACTTCGTCCTATTAAATAGACAAGGTAAATGCGATAGTAATTATGGACAAGGTATGTGGAAAATTTACTGCAATTTCCCTATAATTAGTAATGTAATGTAAATATGAATATTAATGGTAATCACAAACTACCAAACTACTTGTGAGGAAGCGAATGAGTGTTTCCAACTGAGTGGGGGACGAGGGTTGTGTAGATGGTAAAAGGCAGTGTTGGTGACACAGGTGTGGAAGGTTGATTGCAGGTCGTCTCGGCTCTTTTTGACCCAAGAGGAGAGATCATAAAAGGAAAACTGAATCTGAGCGAATACGGCCCAGGTGGCCGTCCTGAGAAGTGGATTTAGTTTTCTCAAGGAATTTGGAAATCGGCCGAATCTTCATAAGAAATTACCGAAGGTGTAATACAAGTGGTATCACACCACACGTAATGTACGCCTCAGAGTATTAATTCTCCCTACAGGTATGTTAATTTATATTGGACAATATGAATTGCTTACCGAAAGGGAAGCGTTAGTATATAACACCAAAATCTTAATTTGGTAAGTACTATTGAAATGTCCATATACTTTTCTAATGTTTACCTGGAGTTTACCTGGAGAGAGCTCCGGGGGTCAACGCCCCCGCGGCCCGGTCACACCACCTGGTGGATCAGAGCCTGATCAACCAGGCTGTTACTGCTGGCTGCACGCAAACCAACGTACGAGCCACAGCCCGGCTGATCAGGAACCGACTTTAGGTGCTTGTCCAGTGCCAGCTTGAAGACTGCCAGGGGTCTGTTGGTAATCCCCCTTATGTATGCTGGGAGGCAGTTGAACAGTCTCGGGCCCCTTCGTACACAACTTATTGTATGGTCTCTTAACGTGCTAGTGACACCCCTGCTTTTCATTGGGGGGATGTTGCATCGTCTGCCAAGTCTTTTGCTTTCGTAGTGAGTGATTCTCGTGTGCAAGTTCGGTACTAGTCCCTCTAGGATTTTCCAGGTGTATATAATCATGTATCTCTCCCGCCTGCATTCCAGGGAATACAGGTTTAGGAACCTTAAGCACTCCCAGTAATTGAGATGTTTCATCTCCGTTATGCGCGCCGTGAAGGTTCTCTGTACATTTTCTAGGTCAGCAATTTCACCTGCCTTGAAAGGTGCTGTTAGTGTGCAGCAATATTCCAGCCTAGATAGAACAAGTGACTTGAAGAGTGTCATCATGGTTGGCATCCCTTTTTTTTAAAGGGTTTCATTATCCACCCTGTCATTTTTCTAGCAATGGATCGATAAATTTTTGGTCCTTGAGGTGGATCCTCCGACATGATCACTCCCAGGTTTTTGACTTGGGTTTCGCTCAATTTGTGGCCAAATTTGTTTTGTACTTGAGGGAGTTTAAATTTTCCCCTCTTTTTCCCATATCTGAGTAATTGAAATTTTCATCTTTGAACTTCAATTTTTTTTCGCAGCCCACTGAAAGATTTGGTTGATGCCCGCCTGGAGCCTTGCGTGTCTGCAAGGGAAGACACTGTCGTGCAATTCGGGTGTCATTGAAAAGGGAAGACACGGTGCTGTGGCTACATCCTTTCTGTCAGTATGGGATGGGAACAAGTGGGAGCGGTAGTGCCTTTGGAACAGAGTTTTTTTCACCATGCCTGCCCCCGACTTTACTCTGTTGGCTATATCTTGTTCTGTTAGTGGGGAAAATTATAGATCCATCGCCCGATTAAATCGGAGTATCTGAGAGAGTTAAGAAAAGGGAAGGGGGTAGCAGTAATTTTAAAATATCAGTTTAAAAGGAAAAAGAGAAAAGAATGGTAAATTCAAGAATTGTGGATTAAAGTAAAGGGTTGATGCGAAAAGTGGGTCATAAAAGCTTAGCACCGGGAGAAGAGAGGAATGCGGGAAAGAGAGATTTTGGGAGTTTAAGTGAATTAAGGACCTTTTTGAACAATTTTAAAAGGTAATTGTGGTAGGGGACTTAAATCAAAGAGGGAAATTTTTTAAGAGGGTGTGGTAGGTAATTTTGGGGTGCAGTGTAAATGATAATGGGAGCCCTTTGATTGAACTTTGTAAGAAAGGGTTTTAGTTATAGGTAATACATTTTTTAAGAAAAAAGGATAAAAAAGTAACACGATATGATGTGGCGTGACGTATTTTTTGGGTTTATGTTTTGGGGTAGATAAAAGACTGTTGGTAGACTTCAGGATGAAAAATTTTTATAGAGGGGCCACAGATAATCAGTCACTTTCTAGTTGTAGCTACATGAGAGTAAAAGGTAGAGGGGATACAAGGAGAATAGAACACGGGAAGAGAGGGGTAAAGGGTTTTAAAAAACTAAAAAGGAGGCATTGGGTAAGTATAAACAGCTTTTGGAGGATAGATGGGCTAATGAAGCATAGGAAAGGGGGGCCCCAAAGAGGAGGGGTAGGTTTAAAAATGTAGGTTAGAGTTTTACAAAGTTTGGGGTTACAGAAAGTGGGTCGGGGGGAAAGGACGATTGGGGAATATGGTAAAGAAGTAGTAAGGGAGAAAAAGTTGAAATGAGAAGTTTTTACAAATAAAGTGTGAAAGGGAGGGAAGAGTATAGGGAAAAAAAGAGAAAAGTTAAGAGAGTGGTGAACAATTAAAAAAGAGCAAATGAGGAGTGGGTGAAAAATTTATCAAAAAATTTTGTTGAAAAAAAAAAAGTTTTGGAGTGAGATTAACAAGAAAGAAAGCCTAAGAACAAAGGGGATTTGTCGTTAAAAATAGGAGAGGGAGTTATTAAAGGGGAAGGTGGGGGTTTTGGAAGAGGGAAGGAATATTTGAGAATTGTTAAATGTTATGAAGATAGGGAACGTGATTTCGTTATGGGGCCCAAGGAGGAATAACATCTTGTAGGAGTGAGGAAGACCCATTGTGAGTGGGGGGAATTTCGTAGGCAGTAGTAAAATGAAAGGGGAAAGGGCACCCGGTTGGGGGAAAAGATGAAATTTTAAAAAGCAGGTGGGGTATATTTTTTGGAGGGGTTTGGTGCAATTTTTTAAAAAATGTAGGGAAGAGGGTAAGGTCCCGGGGGATTGGCAGAGACATGCATAGTTCCTTTGTATAAAGGGAAAGGGATAAAAGAGAGTGCAAAAAATTATAGGGGGATAAATCTGTTGAGTGTACCCGGTAAAGTGTAGGTAATTATAATTAAAGAATTAAGAGTAAACAGAAAAGGTAGCGATGAACAAGAGGGTTAGGAAAAAGGGAGGGGTGTGTGGACCCGGTGTTTACTGAAACATATAAGTGAACATATTTAAAAGGCTAAAGAGGTTTTTGTGGGTTTATGGATTTGGAAAGGGTTTACAGGGTGGAAGGGGGGGGAATGTGGCAGATTTCAAGGATGGTTTAGGAGGAGGGTTTTGAAAGCATGAAGAGTTTTTAGAGGAAGTGGGCTCAATTAGAGTATTAGGAAAAAGGGAAATTTTTTCCCAGTAAAAGTAGGCCTTTGACAAGGATGTGTGATGTCCCGTGGTTTTTATTATTTTAGATGGGGTTTAAAGGGGAATAAAATGCGAGGGTTTGGCAAAGGGTGGGGTTAAAAGATAAAAAATCAACACAAAGTGGGAGTTGTCAAGCTGCTCTTTCCGATGACACTGGCTCTTGGGGGATTTTGAAGAGAAATTGCGAGTTGGGGATGAATTTGGTAGGGTTCAAAAGAAAAAAAATTAAAAAGGGAATAAGAAAAGTAAGGTTTAAGGGGAAAAAAAAAGTTAGGTGATGAAAAATTTTAATATCAAATTGGGGGGAGGAGTATAGAGGGGGTAACGTATTCAGATATTTGGGAGTGACGTTTCAGCGGATGGGTCTATAAAAATGAGGTGAACATAGAATTTATGAGGGAAAAAGGTGAGTGGTGCACTTTTGGATCTGTGGAACAAAGAACTTTGTCCTTGGGGGCAAAGAGGGGAATGTTAGAGTATATTTTACCAACGCTCTTATATGGGGTGAAGCGGGGGGATGAAATGTTTCAGCGAGGAGAAGGTGGAGGCAGTGGAGATGCATGTCTGAGGGCAATGTGTGGTGTAAAAATAAAGAGAAATTGTAGTTTGGAATTTGGAGGGGGTGCGGGGTTACCAAAATGTTGTCCAGAGGCTGAGGAAGGGGTTTTGAGGGGGTTTGGACATGTAGGGAATGGAGCGAAACAGAATGACTCAAAGGTGTTCAGTCTAGTGGAAGGAAGGCGGGGGAGGGGGCGGCCAGGAAGGGTTTGGAAAAGGGGGGGTAAAGGAGGTTTTGTGTCGAGGGGGTTGGATTCCAGCAGGATGGAGCTGTTTGATAGGATGAATGGAACAAATGGTTTTTTTTAAAACTTTCGTCGTTGGGGTGTGACAAAGTCATTTATAAGGGATTCAGGGGGAAAACCGCAGGGCCCGGGCTTGAGTCCTGGGGATGGGGAAATACAGTGCCCCGCAATCTGAAGGGGGGTGTAAAAGTTCAGTTAAAAAAATGATTAAAGCACCCTTTGGCAAACAGTGATGGAGTGAATGATGGTGAAAGTTTTTTTTTTTTTCGGGCCACCCTGCCTTGGTGGGGAATCGGCCGGTGTGATAATAAAAAAAAAAAAAAATTTTTATTTAAAATATATTCCTGTTTAATTAAAATAAAATTACCCAGCCAATTACTCAGTCAAATAATTGATATTACCCAAAATTTCCACATAATTTGCGTGGACGGGAGGCCCCGCCACACCCTGGGGCGGGCGGGAGGCCTCGCCCCACACCCGGGGCGACGGGGGGCCTCCCAAAACCCTGGGGGGGACGGGGGGCCTGCCACACCCGGGGGGGACGGAGGCCTCGCCCACCCGGGGCGGGCCGGGAGGCCTGCCACACCCTGGGGCGGACGGGAGGCCTCGCCACACCGGGGGGGGGAGGGCCCCGCCACACCCTGGGGCGGACGGGGAGGCCCCCGACACCCCGGGGCGGACGGGAGGGCCCCGCCCCACCCTGGGGGGGCGGGAGGCCTCGCCAACCCTGGGGGGGGGCGGAGGCCCCCGCCACACCCTGGGGGGGACGGGGGGCCCCACTCTTCTGGTCAAAAACATTGCAAAATTATTGGGAATAGCTCGCCACTCACCTCCCTCGAGGCTGTTAAAGGGATCGTTAGGTTTAAAAGAACAAAAACGAGGGGCAGTTTTTAAAACCTTTATACACCACATACCCATCCTGTGGGCGGTGGTCAAAAAGATTACAAAAGCACATAATGGGTCCAGGGACTGGGACCAAAGTTATGATAGCTAAACAGATTGCTGTGGTAACGAAGGTCAGGAAGACTGCCTCTCACTGGTACACTGCTAGTCGAGGATACTTTAATTCCTAAGAGATTAAAGTACTCGCTGTATATACACTGAAGTTTATAAACCTCTGTGTATACACTGAAGTATATACACTTCATAGTTCATTTACACTAAGGTATATAATGAAGTATATACACGTCAATGTATATACAATTATATACATCTCTCGGTGTATATACACCACCGTCGTAGGTTAATCTGCCTTTACATATATGTATATTATATATAAACTTATTAACCTACACATCTTATTCAGATAAACCGGATGTGGTTTGTATTACATATTGAAGTATTTCTCATAAAAAAGATTAATATTGAGTGTATCGTCAGATAAACATTGTAAATGTAACAACTCCATATTTAGCTACTGCATTATACAGAATTATGATGCATGTTGGTATTTATGTACTTTACACATTTTTCAAAATAAATTAACTGACACTGTTCGCGAGAATGGTCTTTTAATATTGTGTAAAAAATTCATATATAGAATGATTCTAGATATGGAGAATTGAAACTAAATATAGAACCTTGGTAACATACCATAAGTAATTTGCAACATTCTTATACATCAGTTTAAAAATATAACAAAAAATATACATAAAATCTGATCCTTGTTCACGCGATTTGGTAATGTATAATATTTATGGGGTGAATGTCTTTTTGAGTAATGGAGTTAGCAAGACGTTGTCTGGTCATCACGTAAATAATTGATGACAACTGGCTGTCCCACGTAGAGGGTACCTAAGAGGCTGTTAATACCAGTGGTCACTTGACTCTGCACCTTCCTGGACCAGTTCTCCTTACCCGTTGTTACTATGACTGGAACCAGTTGACCTTGTAGCCAGTGCTCTGATATTTGCGGCTGGACAGCTTGTGGTAAAGGGTGCTGGGTTTGTAGCAAAGGGTGCTGGGTTTGTAGCAAAGGGTGCTGGGTTTGTAGCAAAGGGTGCTGGGTTTGTAGCAAAGGGTGCTGGGTTTGTAGCAAAGGGTGCTGGGTTTGTAGCAAAGGGTGCTGGGTTTGTAGCAAAGGGTGCTGGGTTTGTAGCAAATGTTGCTGGGTTTGTAGCAAATGTTGCTGGGTTTGTAGCAAATGTTGTTGGGTTTGTAGCAAAGGTTGCTTAACATGTTGCAAAGGCCTCTGGGCTTGTGGCAAAGGCTTCTGGGGTAGCGGCAAAGGCTGATTAATTTGTTGGAAAGGCTGCTGAGTTTGTAACACGGGCTGTTGCTGAGGATCTGATAGCGTCTGCTGAAGAAGCGGAACCTGAGACGAAGACTTTATAGCATCCAATACCTCTTTCTTCGCCAGTGGATTTAGACTTCCTAGGATGTTATCACATTCTTCAGTATTTTCCTGCAGACTGGGTATAACGCCACAAGTTTTCAGACAATCATCTAGTGTGTCGAACCTGTTATCATTGCCCAAACACCCACCATACACAAAGCAGTCACAAGCTCTTGTCTCCGAATTGTAGAAGAAAGAAGGAATGAAAGCTCGGCAAATCCCTTTTTCTGGGGGAAGGAAACATCTATTAGCAACGCCAGGAAAATCACGATGACCGTGCACAATCACAACCATTGAGGCCAGGTGTAACATAATATATTTTAAGTCACTCATTTTGTTTTTTTTTTAAATAAATATAGATATATGATTTTTCCCAATTATTCAGCTTAAGATATTTCAAATGAAAGTCTAGGTCACTGACAGAGCAATGGAAATCTGGCACAGAAAGTACGATACACTTTTTCCAAATGCACTGGCGCAGAAGGTAAGATGTACTGTGTTGCAGTAAGTAGGCCTATTATACACTGTCACATTAGGTATGCCTATAATACAGTTCCGTATAAGGTATAATGTATTTTGTCGCAAGAGAGAGGGTCTAAAATAATGGTGCTGTAGGTAAGATTCACTGGAGCAAAAAGGGCAGCCTTGTATAACACCGCAGCAGATATGCACTTTATCTCAGTAGATAGACCTATTTTACACTAGCGCAGTAGATATGTATTGTCACAGTACGTAGGACTTTATTACACAAACGTAAGCATAGTAGGCTTGTCATACCCTGGAGCAACAGATATGACGTGTTTTATCACAGAAGGTAGTCTTTGTTTTTGCTTACGGTGATTCAACTGCAAGGTTATTAGCACACTGGGAAGGCCCATAATATATGGTGCAACAGTTATGACGCAAAGGATGGTGAGAGGTAGAGCAACAGCAGCAGTGATCTGCACTAGACAACTCCCTCCTCTCAACTGGCTACTGCTCAGTCCTGTGTTGCAGCACACCACTCTACAGCAAGTTAAATCATCTAGGTTTATGGAGCCAGGCTGTAGCACCTGGGATAAAAGGATGAAAGGGATACTTTATCTATATGCATCAGACATATGCCTCCTCTTTTTCAAATAAGAGCAGCGCTGTATAGCCCTTGTGGCTTAGCACTTCTTTTTGATTATAATAATTTCAAATAAGAGCATAGTCCACAGGCGAGCTGCAATACTCTTTAGGGCAGCATACATCCCGCTATGTTCACTTTTCTGATGTGGCTGATATATGTTTGAATTATAGAATTAATATTTAATATCCTTTCGTTTTTCAACATGGTTCATAGTTATTAAGGCTGCTTATCACCTGTTCACTACGAGACAAGAATACTTTTATCCCTAAATGAGGATTAAAGTAATCGCTCAACGTATATATACATTGAGAAATGTACACCTCTGTGTACTCTATATATCCTACGTTCGCTTTGTTAAAGTATTCCTGAAAAATTTCAATGTTGGTTTTGATAGTTTAAAATCACCGAGTAATTATGCACATTGAACTGTGTAAAGAAATGTGAGCGGAAGATGGAGGCTAACTTTCTCCGAGAATGTTAGCTGATTGTAATAAAGTAGGTAGAATTACCGACAATATGCAAAGTAAAAGAACACAAGTGCAACTAATGTGACATTTTATTGTGGCAACGTTTCGCTCTCCAGGAGCTTTGTCAAGCCGTTACGGCTTGTTGCCACAATAAATGTCACATTAGTTGCACTTGTGTTCTTTTACTTTACACAATATCTGACTTACGATTCTTTTTTACTTCCATCTTACTTTCATTAACCATGCTAACATTGATATTTATTGGCCTGGGAAGGCGTGTAGGTGGTGTTGGCATCAGATAACCAGGCAACTTTCTCCCTGGTACCACCTACTCCTAACTTAACTTACCAGCAACGTCCTCACTCTTATTCTGCCCTTCACTTATGAGTCCAGCTACCATAAACACTGCCTCACACTTGAAAAACCTAGCAAGCCAGAGCTGACAGTCACTGATGTCGCAACAGTGGGGCCTTCTGAATATATATTATTAAATATTCAGGGTGCTGAATAGTAGAGATAAAGGTTCTCTCTTGGCTGTGTCACGGGGCTGCAGCAAGACTTCTCTTGATGATCTCGTCCAGTTCATTGTGTCTAATATGCCAACCTATCGAGCCTAAATAGTATAGACCATACTGGTCGGCTGCTGCTTTTTTACAAATACGCATGTAGTCAGTGTGATTTGGAGCAGCAAGGCAGTGAGCCACTAATATGAAGGGTATACAGGCCAAATTGTGCCAGGCACAGAGATAGTAATTGTTAGAGGAAGTCGCCCGATACTAACTCACCGCTAAAAGGCAAGCTATCTCATTAGCAGAGCTTGTACCTTTTTTTTTCAGTTTTACAAGGTTAGATTAAAGATTCCTAACGTTATTTAGAAGTTGAGCCGTTACCTACATCAGGTCATTTGAAAGCCTTTTTACTGTTGAGACATACGAGTAAGGAGTTGGAGCCATTTGTGGGCCAGCATTTTCATATGATCAACTGACTTTATATCGTTGATATTATGCTGTACGAACATGTTCCAGACTCAAGTCATCCTGGGAATAAATAATCTCAGATAGTGATGTTCTGGAGAAGGGTAGTCAGAATGAAGTTGCTGCTGGCTGCCCATCTTGTTGTGCAGAAGCTCGCTTCTCTGTCCTCGAAGTGGAGCCAAGTGTGGTACTTAGACAATAGCGGCCTTGTACATAACAGCAAGACCATCCACATCCCTTCTGTGTTGAAGTCTCTGCTGAAATGACAGATCTATCCAGGCTGGGTCCTGGCGAGAGATGAGGCGTCTTGCTCTGTTTTTCTACTCTGTCAAGAAGTCGCAAATGAGATAGAGGACAATCCAAGAAAGTGGAGCATACTCAAGGTGCGAGCATACTTGTGCCTCGTACAGAATCTTGCAACCTCTACAGTGCTGTAAGCTTCCTTGCTGCCTTGTTTGCAAGATTTACAACGTGGTTCTTCATGGTCAGTTTGGAGTCAAATTTCACTCCAAGGATATCAACTTCATCCCCGGGTACCAACACTCTCCCATTCATACCTACTACTGCTTCAGCATTACGATCATGGCGCCTAGAAACCATCGTCATTTTTCTCGGGAACAAATGTTACCTGCCATCGTTTACCCCAGGCTGATATAGCTCTTAGCTAGTAATTAATGTAGCTTAGGGCAGCTGGCATTTCCTCTCTGGGATAAGTAAATGTCAGAGTACAGTCGTCTGCATATGCATGAGATTCTGGGATGAGATGAAGGTCATTGAAGTAGACATTCCATAACATTGGCCCAAGCACGCTTCCCTGTGGAACACTTGCCGCAACAGGATGTCTTGCTGACTCTGTCCCACTGTTTATATTGTAAGAGACCTCTCATCTTGTATATACTGTGAGAGACATGTTGTTTATGCCATGAGACATCTCATGTTGTATATACTGAGAAAGACTTGTATATGCCATGAGACACCCCATGTATATACTATGAGAGGCAACTCGTGTATATACTGTGAGAAACACCCTACATACTTCTTGATGCATGTTGTATATTGAGAAATACACACTTCTCTATGCATATATATACCGACGTATCATGAACTTCCCATAGCACGATTAGTAGAGCACTCAGCTCACACATTGAGTCCTTGGTTCGATCCCTGGTTCGGGTGAAAACATTTGGACATGTTTCCATAATATACCTGCTGTCCCTGTTCACCTATCAGTAAAATAGGTACCTGGGTATTAGTCGACTGGTGTGGGCCGCATCCTGGGAGCAAAATTAACCCAATTTGTCTTAATTTACGTTGGATTGCGTGCAGCCAGCAGTAACAGCCTGGTTGATCAGGCTCTGATCCACCATGAGGCCTGGTCACAGACCGGGCCGCGGGGGCGTTGACCCCCGGAACTCTCTCCAGGTAAACTCCAGGTATAACAAGCGACTTTCTGTATAAAAGTATGTCATTGATGTTAGCTAGGCCTGTATACCTTGTACATGTCTTGTAGAAATAATATTATTAAGGGTTATACATACATTTCGGTGCCTGTGGGACCCGGGAAACTTATCGTCGTATTCCATAACCCTAGTTAGTTCCTTGTGCCTCAATGCAGGCGAACGGAATAGTGCAGGGTAGGGCATAAGTCGATAATGCAAGTAACAATATTGACTCTTAGTAGTGCAGAATTAGGTTAACAATATTGACTATTAGCAGTACAGCATTGGGTTAATGATACAAATTTAAATAATTTCAACCTTTATGTAGGTTCATTAATTAAATATCTTACTCTTTCAGTTCTAAATTCATTTATATTATTACTAACAATGAAATTAGATATTCTATTCTTTCTCAGATGTATTAAAGAATATATTAGATGTCTAGCCAGGTATAATGGCTAATACCTAATTATTCACATCCTCTGAGGTTTCGAATAATACTGATTGAGAGACAGTTTTCAAAACCGTTTATCACAATACTGATCATGGTTTCTCTTTCACAACTTGAAGTAAAATGGATATAATCAGGAGGCCTGGTCTCAGACCGGGCCGCGGGGGCGTTGACCCCCGGAACTCTCTCCAGGTAAACTCTCTCCAGGTAATCTGTTCAGTCATTTCATTTTATTTGCCAATTTCAGCATTTCTATTTTCAGCTCAATCTGGCTTATATGTTCCCTTACACACGTCCAGGATAATACCGCGATGAGCAAGAATAATACATATGTTGTATAAAAGCCAGACATACTGTAGTCTTGCGTGCCTCTACAGGCACTGTGCCCGAATAGAGGCTGGTTTGGTCAAGTCTGTCAGGAAACAGGACAAGTGTTTTCTGACGCGAGTCTTAGCCGCTAGAGCTTTTGGTCATGTGACCGAGGTCTTCCGCTGGCTTACCGGTCCACCCCTCAAAAAATTGTCATAATTATAACCATTTCTTCTTACAAGGAACTTTCACCTGGAATTTGTATTTATCAGACATTGTTAGCTATTAACTATTTTGAAGTTGGTTGTTTAGTCTGTTTGACTCTTAAGAATTTTTCGAATGTACTAAATAATATCACTTAGTTCTATGGTAAAAGAATAAAACTTTAACATTTTTTAAAGTCGTACTTTATATATGATCAAGTGTAGTGTATGAACTGTAATATCAAAGTTGAGTAGTTAAGTAATTCTTATGTAATCTTCCTTAGTTTACTTCGTCAGTGTTGATTGTCTTCTGTAAAAGATTTAACCTTCAAGATAGAGCAGGACCAATATCGTGTGAGTATAAGTTGGCTTGTAAAATCCTCCCAGTATTGTTCCTTCTCCTCAAGGTTTAGACTCTGTGTTTCTGGCAAGAGGAGAGTAAACCCAGCCAGGATAAAGCAGCCGGCTGAATAGCTGAAGAAACAAATATGCATCGGGAAATCATCAGCATTAACAGTCAAGTAGGCAAGACCAAACTGTATGATGCAAACAAAAGCAGTAGAGAAACCACTTCCTAGTCCCTGCACTGGCCTAGGCAACAATTCTGTGGCCATCAGCCTCGCTACAGGACCTATTCCACTACCGTAAGCTACCACGAACACCAGCAGGCATAGCAGTGGTACCCACTCTTGCGAAGTTCGGGAATCTGCCTTTAGAAAGTAGAATGCATTCACTGCCATGGTCAGGCCAGCAATAGCCGAGGCAGAAGATAGTAAGCTGCGGTGGGGCATGTAATTTAAAAGCAGGCAGCTTATTAAGTTAGATATGACGTGAGCAGTGCAAACAATTATGGAACTCCAGATAGGCGGTATTCCTGTGTTCATTAAACTATAAAGCCGAACCACGAACAACGTCACTGTGATTTGTCCTGTGCATTCTTTGAATATAACGAGCATTACTGCAGCAAGTAGTGGTAAGAGAAATTTTGGTTTTCCCAGCAACGTTCCCTGACAGCCTGGTCGCCATTTTAACGCCTGATTATTGACCCTTTCCTTCATCATAATCAGCTCATTTTCTATATTACATTCGGTTGTTCTTCCACGCTGAAGTACAAGTCTTGCTTCTTCCAGTCTACCAGTCTGAAGTAACCATCTGGGTGACTCTGGAACAGTGATTACAGCAGTGATACAGGGAAGGAAGATACAAGTTGGGATGAGCAACACCAGCGTGGACCAGTGTATTAAGGCCCCCAGCAGGAATGTTAGTAGGTACCCCATGGAAAAGGCAACGTCGGGCAGGGCGTCGAGCATTCCTCGTCTGCTTGCCTCACTCACTTCACACGGGTACACATACACGCTCACTGAACACCAGGATGTCAATATGCCCTGTAAAGCATTATTAATTAACAGATTTATACATATTAATTCCTTTAAAATGTACATGTAAATCATCAAATTTGATTTCGTCTCCATCTTCGTAAGTTAGTTACTTACATAAATAGATTTTCAACATTCATATACTGTAAGTCAAAATGCAGCATAATAGCTGCCTCCAGACATAAGTAACACGTACTTATAATATCCTAATAAAACAGTCAACTTTTTGTTTTTACAAGATTTCTCTAAGATTTATTTACAATATTATGCTGCAGGTTAGGCTATTAGGCTAGGTTTACTAAATTATTGGTAATTCATGATAAACGCTTTCAGGACTAAGAATGACGAATGGAACATCAGACAGTAGGAGAGTATGAAGGATGAAAATACCGACATTCAGTTTAAAAGATATGTAGCCCCGCGGCCCGGTCCATCACCAGCCTGATCAACCAGGCTGTTACTCCTGGCCGCGCACAAACCGACGTACGAGCCACAGCCCGGCAGGTCAGGTACTGACTTTCTGTCCAGCGCCTTCTTGAAGACAGTTGAAGGCAGTTGCAGTCTTGGGCCCCTGACACTTATTTTGTCTTAGTTTACTCGTGGCGCTCCTACTTTTCATTGGAGGGATGTTGCACCGCCATCATTTGCTGTTCTTGGGAGTGATTTCGGTATGCAGATTTGGAACTAATCCCCCTAGGATTTTCCAAGTGTATATTATCACGTATCTTTCTTGCCTGCGATCCAAGGAGTACAGGTCAAGGGACATTGTTGTGTTCTTTGCAAGTGAGATTCTCTGACTTTTCCACTCCTAAGTCCTTCACATTAGTTTTTAGCTCTGTTGTGTGGTTCGTATTTGTCTTATGCTCCGACGCAGTTTTTTTTTTCTAGAGTTTTCCATAGCGGAGTAGATGAAATTTGTCTTAATTAAATTTCATATTGTTTTCTGACGCCCATTTAAAGACTTAGTTAACTAAATGTCTGCTTGGAGATTTGTAGTGTCCTCGATGGATGACAGGCATGCAAATTCTGGTATCATCAGCAAAGGAGGATGATGATGTGGTTCACATCTCAGTCTGTCAGAAACGAGGATGAGGAAAAGGATGGGAGCGAGTATTGTACCTTGTGGATACTTTATAATTCCGTCTATCGCGTTGGCCTTTGATTCTATCAAATTGTGCATTTGTCATTTTACATTTTAGTACATTACCTTAACAAAGGAGATATATATATATATATATATATATATATATATATATATATATATATATATATATATATATATATATATATATATATATATATATATATATATAAAATCTCACACACACAGGACAAAATGGTAACTAACACACACAGAGGTGTATGTCTGTGACTAATTTTAATTCTTTGATAACTCGTGTAATCGACAGACTTTAATCCAAATATACCACCAAACCAATACTTTAATTAACTAGAAGGTATATTTCAAATGAGTGTAATAGGTCACCTGCAGCGCGCGCAGAGCTATGAGTAAGACGGGATGATGAGTGGTGAGCAGCAGGAGGAACCATGAGACAGCAAGAACCGGAAGTAGCAGAAGCAGAAGTCGACGTGGACCTGTCGCATCCATCAGATACCCACCCAGGATAGACCCGGGGATGGAGGCTAGCTGAGCCACGCTTCCTGTCCGTAGAGATAATACAAATCATTTTTAGTGGCTGATTTCCTTCTTATAATTTATGATTAGAAGTTTAAATCGAAGGAGTTTTGGATTATGGAAAGAAGTCATTGCTCTTTACAAATTGTACGTGAAAAAAATTCTGCCGTTTATGTACCTATTTATTATGTACTTGAATGATTAATATTTCCTGATGTCAAGATTTCTTGATTTAAACTCCTAGTTGAATATTATTTCAACTAATGCAAACAGAGGCCTAGTAACTGTACCTCAAAACCCTTAACATTGGAGTGCAGCTCAACTCGTATGTGTGCACAAATTTATAATAAATAAATAAATAAATAAATAAATAAATAAATAAATCAAGGGGGAAGCGCTAAACCCGGAGGATTATACAGCGCCTGGGGGGGGGATGTGGAAGGCATTCAGGCTTAATTCGGGGAACTGGAGCACAGATCCAATTCCCTAAATCAAGAGCCCCTCACCAACATCAAGGAACCTTCCTTGAGGGGAACTCGCCCAATAGAATCAGGAGTTATAATTCAACTCTCCCAAGAGGCCCAGGAGCTAGAGATCAATAATTCTGGGACGAATATCAAATGTACAAACTCAAGAAGCCTGGTAACTAGTTTAACAGACTCAGGAAATATGGGTCAACCCCCCCTGAGACACTTCTTTTTCCCAGACAATCACTCATGTTTCCTTCCCCTGAAAAACTGATACACTGGAGTACGTTCACTGTTATTCCTGTCTGCACGTCGAGTTTTTGCCTCAGCCTCTTGTCTAAGAAAATGAAGTTCATCCATCCCTCTCACAATAACACGAAAAAACTTCACTGACTTGAGACTGAAGATTAACACCTGTCAGTCCAAATATCAATATCATGAAGGAGGAGGAGCCACATGTCTATAGCACATCCAACAAATTAAACTCATGGATGTCCAACTGGACATCCGGCTGGGTTACTAGCATCTCTGGGAGGTTGAATAACCACCTTCCTTCTTTAGTTGAGTTACCTTATCATTTTTCTGTTGTGGCTACGAAGTAGCCATGGTTCAGACTTGGCCTTTGTTGCTTCGCCATTCTCAAAGTGAGTGAGCGTATGTATATTATAATCTACCACAATGAAAACATATGGATGCTAAAATGCCAGCAACAACAAAGTGAGAGATACAGAAGTAACTAACCAAACCATCGGGCGTGTGTACGGCTGAGATCTACGTCAGTATTGTTCGTCCAGGTGTCCATAACGAGGGCAGGGAAGGCGAGGACTGCCCCTAGAGCACACCCAGCTCCTGCAACACACACTGCCCACACTACCTGCACACATTCACATTTATTTTTCGAATATGTAGAATACTAAAATACTGATAAATAATTCAGGATAAAGAGGAAGAAGGACAAATGACAGACAGAAAAGGACTTAGATGGGTTAAAAGATCACATAGCAGGAAGTAGAGTAATATATAAATGTAACTTTAATGTTAATTATGACATATATATATATATATATCTCAGGCTCTGATCCACCAGGAGGCCTGGTCACAGACCGGGCCGCGGGGGCGTTGACCCCCGGAACTCTCTCCAGGTGAACTCCAATAATATGCACACGACCAAAATAATTCTAGTTATATTTTATATTTCTGTTGATTATACGTATTTATAGGTACTATGTAAAAATCGGACCGAAATGAATTATTGGCAATTCAGAGGAAATTTCTCTCTAAATGGAGAAGTTGCCCAATGGTATATTGTGAATCACTCTCAACACCAATCGCCAACAAATTTCTGTATTATAATAGTGTTTCTCAACCACACTATAATTTTTTCATTAGTGTCGACTCCTATGGCTCAACAGAAAGTACTAACCTGCCTGCAGGTTGGGGAGAGAATGATGGCACTAGGCCTAGGAGTGGGCATAGCCTGGGGCTGTGGTGTTGACCGGCCGGAGTCATCATGCCTGCTGGACTCGCAGTCCATTGCACACACGGTAACAGAGGTCAAAATACTCGTGTATTACTCATACAGCAACTAGAAATATTCCTGTTCAAATTCCACTTCTGTATCAAAATCGAATAATACACGTTATAGTGTACAAAATATTCTTCAGCCTAACTCCGATTATTATGAGACGAATCAGAAAGCTAGTAATGAGTGATGACTCACGGGTGAGTCTTGTATGGAGTATAGTAAGTTAGGAACAATCGGTTAGTATATACCCAGATCCCTTGACCCTCGTATCAAGTGCCACACACCACCTCCCACCCTCTAAATTTCCTGTATAACCTCATTAATGCGCTTGTAAAACTTAGTATAACTATTGCACACAGGAAAAATTAAAGTGAATTAAACTTTATTTTTGTTATTTAGATTTATATAAGCAGTAATAATGACAGAGGCCTAATATTTTTCAGTGTCATCTGGAAGGACCCATCCAGTGTATTCACTGATCAATAAACCATCCTTGTGCTTTTTTCCGGTGGCCAAGACATCGACGGATATTCGGAAAAACCTTATTTACAACTTTGATAAATATCATATCCAGTACGCTTTTCCGGTGTGCCATTCATGGACGAAAAAAAAAAATGTACAACTTGTCCTTGGGGTAATTTTTTGTTTTCACATTATATATTTGAACAAACCCTTGAATCCGTCTCATCAATATTATAGTAGTCGTTTTATATTATTCAGGAAAAGACTCGGTCAATATTTACTTTATTCCATTGTGAATTATTATTATGTAAATTCTGAAGATCACGGGAAACCGCATTGGAAATAATAATATTCCAAGCGCATTCGTCATTTCTCTCATTATTAAGGAACAGCAAAAAAAAAAAAAAAAAAAATCCTGTGTGTAATAATATCTTTATTTTTACAAGTACATGTACAAGGTATACAAACCATAGCTAACATCAGTGACACACTACTAGGGCAACCATGCTTGCAAATAGTCCCATGAATCTTCCCAAAGATATATTACACAAGCCTTGAAAACAGGATCAGGCGTTCTAGAGTTATTATTAAATTAAAATCGGAAGCTGGAGGAAGAAATAAATATAGAAATCTGTTTAGGCAATTATGAATGTATCCCTTCAGGGATGCCTGAACATATTTGTCATTTCATATATTGCAATTTCTTCAGAGTCAATGAGCACAATGCAGTACGGAATTAGTCTCGGAAACATTTAAGTATCGTTTTACCAGTAAAATATTGGTCATTATAGGGTTGCAGTTTCTGCAAGAATCATTATTCATCTAGTAGTCGCGAAATGTGGATACAGTCTCAAAATTTCAGATATCATTGTCAATGAAACACCATATCCTGTAGGGTTTCCATGGAAGTGTTTAAAAGGGTGGATGTTTGGACACTGTATCTCTGGCAGTGTAGTAAGTCATGGTTTGTATAAAGATGTCAGTGACAAAATGCAAAGTGTGTGGACAGAGACCGGGCCATACACTGAAGCATTATATTTTTAAGTGTCCAAACACCTTATTGTTAATGATAAGATATCTGAAATCTTGAGGTTGTATCCAAATTTTGCAACGACTAGATAAATGAATGGTTTCTATAGAGGAAATTACAACCCAATTTTGACCAATGTCGTTTTAGATTCTTTTTTTTTTTTGAGGTTGTATTCCATACTGTACTGTATACATTAACTATATGAAATAAGTGTAAAATATTAAATTACTAATATTTCTAATGCAGTAAAATTGTCCGGGCGCGCGCGCGCTCGTGTGGGTGTATGACCCACTTAATATTTGTATTTATAACTCGTTACAATTGTGACCAGGTGTGGACGTATCAGTGGTTCATTACTTTGTAATTTGTTCATGATTGTAACCATGTATAGGAGTGAGGCTGATTCATTACCTTTGTAACTTGCCATGATTGTGACCAGATCTACCTGGAGTTCATTACCTTTGTAACTAGTTCAGCTATCATAACTTTAGGGTCCAGTCCCTGGACCCATTATGTACCTTTGTAATCTTTTGACTACCGCCACAGGATGGGTATGGGGTGCATAATAAAGATATTAAACTAACTAGGGTCTGACAAAGACCCTCTGTGGCCTTTATAATACTGGCACAACTTGTTAGTTTTAAGTTTAATATCTTCATGCACAACAAAACAAGTTTTCCTGTCGTGTGTGGAGTCAGTAAGTTTATTCGGGTATACACAGTTGCATAGAATATCATACATAGAAGCATATGTATATAAACAAATTAAGTAAACTCCTGGATGTCACTACCGCCCGGCTGCATCTGGGTCACCAGCATCTCTTGGAGGTTGAATCACCATCACCAGACGTAGACCAAACTAAATGTAATTTAACCAGGTGAACAATTGTCACACCTTACGTCATTACGGGATGCGACAACATTGAGTTCTGAAGTAACTCTTTCAGAAATGTTCAAAGCCAAAGTATTTTACCCACAGTGGTATATTACAATCCATTCTGGAAAAAAATATCCTGACCTTGTCCACTGTAAATACCACAATAACCATTTAAATTTTATTTTTGTACAGGCATACCTTACTAAAACATAGGGTCGCATCATAACACCATCTGCGACTCCACAGTGTCTCACTCCCTACGAGCCACGTGGGGCGGGGAAGGTGGCAGACCAGTTACCTTGGTTTTCCCTACGAGCCTCATGTTCAGGGGGATTATACCTAGGATTAGAGACATCGTGTCCCTGAAGTTGAAACGGGACAGCTCTTCACAAGAAAAGATATTATGAATGTCACGATACTTCTCCAATGGGGAGCCGAGGCCAGGTCACCTCTTGGAAAAGACCTGAGCAGCAAAATGCTGCGAATCTCTACCAGCCAATTAACCAAATCTAAGGTAATGCTTTTGTAACTTTTTTTTAATTGTGCAAATAATACACAACTAAAAAAAGACAGGGTATTTTTTCCAGAATGGTTGGTAATATACCACTGTGGATAAAATACTTTGACATTTCTTGAACATTTCTGAGTAAGTTGTCTTTGAATTAATTTTATCGCATTGCAAGGTGTGACAATTGTGCAGGATGAGCATGGAGTGCACAATGAACTAGCTGCTCAAATGGCACAACTGGGAAAAAAAATTCTTTCATCTCTCAGCTTTAAGTAAGTTTATTCAGGTACAGGTACACATAAATACAGTTACATAAATTATCATACACAGAATATGTATAGGAAATTAAATCTTCATCAGAGTACAAAACAAATTCTGGCCACAAAATAGAGCGAAACACCAACGTCAAAGACCTGGGAGTGATCATGTCGGAGGATCTCACCTTCAAGGACCATAACATTGTATCAATCGCATCTGCTAGAAAAATGACAGGATGGATAATGAGAACCTTCAAAACTAGGGAGGCCAAGCCCATGATGACACTCTTCAGGTCACTTGTTCTGTCTAGGCTGGAATATTGCTGCACACTAACAGCACCTTTCAAGGCAGGTGAAATTGCTGACCTAGAAAATGTAGAGAGAACCTTCACGGCGCGCATAACGGAGATAAAACACCTCAATTACTGGGAGCGCTTGAGGTTCCTGAACCTGTATTCCCTGGAACGCAGGCGGGAGAGATGCATGATTATATACACCTGGAAAATCCTAGAGGGACTAGTACCGAACTTGCACACGAAAATCACTCACTATTTTTTAGATTTTGCCACCGAAGTTTAGTTCAAAGTTTATTCTCTATAAGGATTACAATGCTGAGTTTACAGAAATTTGGTTATTGTTTGGTTTACATGTAGTAAAATTGTGATTACAGAGTGTACCACTAGAACGCTTAGCATGGCTAGGCATTTCGGGCATACTTAGTTTTATTCTTAATTGTAAAATATTACAAATTATGAGGTAAGTTGGTATTATGGCTAAGTGACTAAATACTAGTTTGTGAGTTTAGCAATGTGAATGCTTTTGTTTTGGCACAGTACATAGTTACAGTATTGGAGTATAACAGGATTCATTATTTTAAGACTGAGATTAATATTTCTGTTTATGGTCAAATGAGTGAGTGAGTGTAAGTGTGAACCACCAGGTGGTATTCATGTAGTTAGTTGACGGGGTGTATCAGGGAGATAAGATGTTTTCTAATGGTAGTTTTGAAGGTGATGAATGTGTCTGCAGTTCTAGAGTTCTCAGGTAGGGTATTCCAGATTTTAGGTCCTTTGACATGCATTGAATTTTTGTAAAGGTTTAGTCGGACACGGGGAATGTCGTAGAGATGTTTGTGTCTGGTGTTATGCCTGTGGGTTCTGTCACAACTATCAAGAAAGCGTTTTAGATCAAGGTTGATATTAGAGTTTAAGGCCCTGTAGATATAGACTGCACAGTTGTAAGTGTGGATGTACTGGACTGGGAGTAAGTTTAGATCTATGAAGAGTGGGGGGGTGTGTTGCCAGGGATGGGATTTAGTGATTATTCTTACTGCAGCTTTTTGTTGGGTTATTATTGGCTTTAGGTGTGTTGCTGCAGTTGATCCCCAAGCACAAATAGCATAGGTGAGGTATGGATAAATAAGTGAGTGGTATAGTGTGAAAAGGGCATTTTGCGGCACGTAGTATCGTATCTTGGAGAGGATCCCAACCGTTTTGGATACTTTTTTGGCTATATGCTGGATATGGGTGCTGAAATTCAGGTTGTTGTCAAGGTATAAGCCTAGGAATTTTCCCCCAGTTTAATATGTTTATTATGCACCCCATACCCATCCTGTGGGCGGCAGTCAAAAGATTACAGAGGTACATAATTGGTCCAGGGACTGGACTCCAAAGTTTTGATAGCTGAGCAAGTTACAGAGGTAATGAATTCACAATTTACAAAGGTAATGAACTCCAGGTAGGTCTAGTCACAATCATGACAAGTTACAAAGGTATTTACAGATTACAGAGGTACGTAATGGGCCCAGGGACTGGGCCCCAAAGTTTTGATGGCTGAACTAGGTACAAGGTAATGAACTCACAAGTTACAAAGGTAATGAATACTGTAATGCTTTCGTAATGAGTGATTACAGTATTCATTACCTTTGTAACTTGTGAGTTCATTACCTTGTGCCTAGATCAGCCATCAAAACTTTGGGGCCCAGTCCCTGGGCACATTACGTACCTCTGTAATCTGTAAATACCTTTGTAACTTGTCATGATTGTGACCAGACCTACCTGGCGTTCATTAACTTTGTAAATTGTGAATTCATTACCTCTGTAACTTGCTCAGCTATCAAAACTTTGGAGTCCAGTCCCTGGACCAATTATGTACCTCTGTAATCTTTTGACTGCCGCCCACAGGATGGGTATGGGGTACATAATAAACATATTAAACTAACTAAACTTCGGTGGCAAAATCTAAAAAAAAATCTAATCTACCAGCTAGGTGAGAAATTTCTTCTTGAGCAGTTGCTCTAACAAGAGATTTAAGGAAGGGATTACTAGCAATGAGCTTCTTGGGAGGGACTTGCAGGTATGTGATATTATATTAAATGAACATATCTTCCACGGAGGGGTGGAATGCTCTTGTTGCCTACAGTGATACAGTTCATGCAAGTTATAAAGCTTGATGTAATTCCACGTTTTCACAATCCATTTAGATCTGTGTGTATTTACCTCTTAGACACCTTGTAAGATTCATTGTGAGTGTCTGGTTCGTTTCTCAACATTCTAATACCTGGAAAATCCTAGAGGGACTAGTACCGAACTTGCACACGAAAATCACTCACTACGAAAGCAAAAGACTTGGCAGACGATGCAACATCCCCCCAATGAAAAGCAAGGGTGTCACTAGCACGTTAAGAGACCATACAATAAGTGTCAGGGGCCCGAGACTGTTCAACTGCCTCCCAGCATACATAAGGGGGATTACCAACAGACCCCTGGCAGTCTTCAAGCTGGCACTGGACAAGCACCTAAAGTCTGTTCCTGACCAGCCGGGCTGTGGCTCGTACGTTGGTTTGCGTGCAGCCAGCAGTAACAGCCTGTAATCAGTCCATCATCCTTAAAGTTTTGAGGTGGTCAGTCCCTCAGTCTGGAGAAGAGCATTATTCCAAAGTTTGAAACAATATGTAGTTGAAGTGAGAGGATGGAGCCTTATATAGCGCCAGGAGGTGAGACGTAGGTCACTAGTCACTATCTTGGTACAGACCTGGAATCAACTTCGACTACCTCTACTAGTGAGAACGGCTGGATTTGAGAGGGACCTGACCTCCCAACATCTGCGTTCTACTAGTGACCTACGTCTCACCTCCTGGCGCTATATAAGGCTCCATCCTCTCACTTCAACTCCATACAGTAACAGCCTGGTTGATCAGGCTCTGATCCACCAGGAGGCCTGGTCACAGACCGGGCCGCGGGGGCGTTGACCCCCGGAACTCTCTCCAGGTAAACTCCAGATTACCTAGAATAACCCCAAAAAAGTCAGTGACTGATTTTCATTGTACAATATCAAGGACCCCAATGGAAAGCCACTTTGACATTTTTGGGTTATCCCAGGTTCTCTACACATATACTGCTATATATGATAATCTATGTAACTGCATTTGTGTATACCTAATTAAACTTAACATAATTCGCCACATATAGAGAAGCCAGGTTGCAGACAGTGGGAGCTGACAGTGGCCTTTATAAACCCAACAAGATAACCTAGCAGTACTACACACTTCGGCACTGTGACCCTTGTAGGTTTAGCGCTTGTTTTTTATTATAATAAGTACTACACTCTTAAATCAGTGAGTTTTAAATCAGTGTGTCTTTATAATGCACAGTGTTCTTATTTCCTGTAAATTGAAGAAGAAAAACCTCCTTGTAAACTATGCTATTAGTAACGAATAGGCTTTTGGGGGTTATCCTAGGTAATTTGCATGTACATTATGTTAAAATTTGTATAATTATACTTGTGTACATGTACCTATACGTGGAGGAGGTTTCGGGGGGTCAACGCCCCCGCGGCCCGGTCGATGACTAGGTCTGGTGGTGGATCAGGGTCTGATCAAGTAATGTATGAACCACAGCCTGGTTGGTCAGGTACTGACTTTGGGTGTCTGTCCAACGCTTTCTTGAAGACAGTCAGGGGTCTATTGGTAATCCCCCTTATGTATGCTGGGAGACAGTTGAACAGTCTTGGGCCCCTGACACTTATTGTGTTGTCCCTTAGTGTGCTCGTGGCGTCTCTGCTTTTCATTGGGGGGATGTTGCATTTTCTGCCGAGTCTTTTGCTTTCATAGGTGGTGATTTTCGTGTGCAGATTTGGGACTAGTCGCTCTAGTCCCAAGTGTATATTAGCATGTATCTATCTCGCTTGCATTACAGGGAGTGCGAATTAAGGGACTTTACCCATTCCCAGTAATTTAGATGCTTTATTGTACTTATATGGTGACCCCGTGGCCTGGTTGGCAAAGCTCTCGCTTCAGATACGGAGGGCCCAGGTTTGATTCCCACCAGAGCGGAAACATTTAGACACGTTTCCTTACACCTGTCCTGTTCACCTAGCAGCAAATAGGTACCTTGGTGTTAGTCAACTAGTGGGTTGCATCCTGGGGGGACAAGATTGAGGACCCCAATGGAAATAACACGGTCCTCAATGACATACTGCCTTTCTTGTGTTATCCTGGGTGGCTAACCCTCCTGGGTTAAAAATCCAAATGTAATCTTATCTCTTACATGCTGTGAAAGTTCTCTATGATCTCCAGGTTTACAATTTTGCCTGTCAAAAAGGGCTGTTAGTGTACAGCAATATTCCAGCCTAGAGAGAACAAGCAATTTGAAGAGAATCATCATAGGCTTGGCATCCCTAGTTTTGAAGATTCTCATTATCCATCATTTCCCTAGCAGATGTGATAGATACATTGTTGTGATCTTTGAAAGTGAGATCCTCTGACAGTATCACTCCCAGGTCCTTCACATTAGTTTTTCACTCTATCATGTGGTTGGAATTTGTTTTATACTCCAATGTAGTTTTATTTTCCTGAAGTTTTCCATAGCAGAGTAATTGGAATTTGGCTTCATTGAACTTCACGTTTTCTGCAGCCCATTGAAAGATTTGGTTGGTGTCCGCTTGAAGACTTGCAGTGTCTTCAATGGATGACACTTCGTGCAAATTCAGGTGTCACCTGCAAAGGAAGACACGGTTCTGTGGCTTTCATCTGTGTCAGATATGAGGATGAAGAATAGAATGGGAGTGAATCTGTACCTAAATAAACTTACATACTTAGTTTAATAATAATAATTAATTAATTTAATAATTAATAATAATGCAGTGCTGTATGGCCCTTGTGGTGGGTTTAGCACTTAGTTTTAATTGTAGTAATAAAAATTATTTATTTCATATGAACCGTGAAAGGAAGTTACAGTAGTTAGCTTTACATTCATATTTGCTACATTTTGCATATAGTAATACAGGTTTAATGCTTCTTTTGATTATAATATAGTAATACAAATATTTGATACAATTGAAATTACATCTGATTTACATCAGTTCAATGATCTGTATTTAATGGAGCAGTTAAATTAAAATGGTGAAATCAGTTCATGAGAATTTACAGAGTTTGTTAATGTGATGTAATTTTTTAGAAAACTGACAAGTTGCTCAAGTGTTTTATGCTTCACAGAGTTAATGTGTATAAAATTTATACAAGATGAAATAGGGGCTTGTTGGCAACACTCATCACGTACACTGGGTATCTGTGGTTCAATCCCCGGCAAAGGTGGAAATATTGGGCGTGTTTCCTTATATACGCTGCTTCTGTTTACCTAGCAGCAGATAGGTACTTAGGTGTTTGTCAGCTGTTGTGGGTTGCATCCTGGGGGACAAGATTAAAAACCCCCAATGGAAAGAAGACAGTCCCTGATGATGCACTGACTTTATTGGGTTGTCCTGGGTGGCTAACCCTCTGGGTTAAAAATCTGAATTAAACCGTATCTTTCTTTCTCCTCCTGGATCCCATTTCCATGTTAATACTACACTATTTGTGGGGAAAAAATACTCTTTAGGATCCTTTACTGTGTTTTTTAATTTGGTTTACAATTGTGGCCTCTCGTTTTTGTTAGGGAAAATAGATTGTATATGTGGTTATCGTGACTTCCTTAACTATCATTCAAGACATTTTCAGTAACTTCAGTCTTCCTATTTCATATCTCTTAGCTCTGATTGCCATTTTGTAGCATGTTATTTAACTTTCATTTATCTAGTGTACCAGCTGGTAATTATGTAAGGACAATCATAAGTTCTGTAGGTTCCACAGCCTATAGATTATCAACATGATTAGTGAAACTATTAACCCTATATGTTGGGACTGTTGTCTTCTTATATAAAAATAACTTTTCTTTTTTAAAATTAAGACACCATACATTGTGAATAGCATTTATAGCATGTTTATATACAGGAGGGCCCTGCTTGTACAGCAGGTTAGGTTCTAGGTTACCGCTGTAAAACAAAAATCTGTTTATGTGAAAGCTATTTGTGAGAGAAAGAGGTACTATCAGGGAATGACAGTGTGATATATGATATTCTGATACATATTCTCTTGAGCATTTTGTGGATGGTTGTTCAAAGCTTCTTATGTTTTAATGATGTGAAATCATAAAAATGAGATTGCAAACAAATCATTGAATGGGTGGACCTCAAACCCATGACCTGGCAGTTTTAAGACTGTGTTGCTATAATATATGTAATAAAGCTCTTCTACCTCATAAAATCTGGCACTAGGTTAAAAGCATCAACAATTTTTTTTTTTCAGTTCTTCAATTACTTTACCACTCTAGGTAGAAAGTGCATAATAGGATTTACAAAACATTAATATTTCTGATTTAATCATTAAGTACTTCTTAATTATTAGTCCATTAATTATACAGTATAGTGTTCTTCCTATTAAAATTCAAGTTTTTGCTTGCACTTATTTAAACTGTAGTAATTTAAAATTTGTTCATTACAGATTTTTCTTTCAGAAACTACAGATGCCTAGGAACAGTTTTCAAGGAGTACCAGATTTAGAAGCTTATGCATGTAAAGTTTTGCTAGCCTGTCTATGATTTGTTTGCCCGCAGTCAAAATGGAAGAGGCACAAACTGTAGTTATTCAAGTAAACAATGCAGATTGGGATCAACAAACAATGCCAAATTTTGAGCACCTTCAAGTAACTAATTTGGCTACAATAGAGTGTGGTGCTGTACAAGAGGTATCTAACATCGGTGAAGTTGTTACTGAAGAATCGACTCCAGCTGAGCCCCATCAGGAACTAGTGAAATTGGATTTTAAAAAACTAGAGACTACAGAGAGTACAGAAAATGAAGCATCATTTATGCAGTATGAGTGTCCTTATTGTTATTTGAAATGTAAAACTAAATTTTCTTTTAATTCTCATCTTAGACTTCACACTGTAGAAAAGTCATTCATTTGTGAAATATGTGGAGACTGCTTTAAGACCAAGGCAGCAACAGACAGGCATATACGACTACATTATCATAAGAAAGAATATTTCTGTGGAATGTGTGGCTCTGAGTTTGCTACTAAATTTTCATGTACTAAACACATGAAGAGCTCTCACAGAGTCCCATCCAATGACATAAATATTTTTAGGTTGAAAGAGGAAGTGTTAGATGGAGGGGAAAATGTTCTCCTTATCAAAGTATTTAGGAATGGAGAGACATATAAAAGGAGGTTCAGATTCATTAAAGAGATTTAAGTGAAATAATGATTCAAACAAAATAATTTGTTTTTTTGTTGTATGTTAAGCTATAAGGTAATTTGAAGGAAAATATCTTGTAATGAAATTCTTTATATGAAAAATCAAATGTTTTCTTATACCTCTTATGTGATTATGCCAGCCATGTCTTTAGATCTTGTACATCAATGTTAGCATTATTTACATGCATTTTAGTTAATTGTTTTTATAACTTAACTAATTTTAATTAAAATAGTTAAAAAATACAATATAATACAAGGTGATGAGAGTAGCAAAAAATCTAGGTGATGAAAAACTGGATTTCAGATTGGAGGGAGGGAGTATGGAGAAAGTAAATGCAGTGGAACCTTGGCACTCAAACTTAATTGTTCCAGAAGGCTGTTCCAGTGCTGATCTATTAGAGTATTAGAGTATTAGAGTACTTACACTTAGGTCACACTACACATACATGTACACATTTATTTATACACACTCATCTGAGTTTTCTTTGATTTTATCTTAATAGTTCTTGGTCTTATTAATTTTCCTTTTATATCCATGGGGAAGTGGAATAAGAATCTTTCCTCCGTAAGCCATGCGTGTTGTAAAAGTCAACTAAAATGCCGGGAACAATGGGCTAGTAACCCCTTTTCCTGTAAAGATTACTAAAAAGAATAAGAAGAAGAAAATTGTCAAAGTGGGAAGTCTGAATGTGCGTGGATGTTGTGCAGATGATAAGAAAGAGATGATTGTGGATGTTATGAATGAGAAGAAGCTGGATGTCCTGGCTTTAAGTGAAACAAAGCTGAAGGGGGTGGGAGAGTTTCAGTGGAGAGGAATAAATGGGATTAGGTCAGGGGTTTCAAATAGAGTTAGAGCTAAAGAAGGAGTAGCAATAATGTTGAAGGATAAGCTATGGCAGGAAAAGAGGGACTATAAATGTATTAATTCAAGGATTATGTGGAGTAAAATAAAGATTGGATGTGAAAAGTGGGTTATAATAAGCGTGTATGCACCTGGAGAAGAGAGAAGTGTAGAGGAGAGAGAGAGATTTTGGGAAATGTTGAGTGAATGCGTGGGGAGTTTTGAATCAAGTGTGAGAGTAATGGTGGTTGGGGATTTTAATGCTAAAGTGGGTAAAAATGTTATGGAGGGAGTAGTAGGTAAATTTGGGGTGCCAGGGGTAAATGTAAATGGGGAGCCTTTAATTGAGCTATGTGTAGAAAGAAATTTGGTAATAAGTAATACATATTTTATGAAAAAGAGGATAAATAAATATACAAGGTATGATGTAGCACGTAATGAAAGTAGTTTATTAGATTATGTATTGGTGGATAAAAGGTTGATGGGTAGGCTCCAGGATGTACATGTTTATAGAGGGGCAACTGATATATCGGATCATTATTTAGTTGTAGCTACAGTTAGAGTAAGAGGTAGATGGGAAAAGAGGAAGGTGGCAACAACAAGTAAGAGGGAAGTGAAAGTGTATAAACTAAGGGAGGAGGAAGTTCGGGTGAGATATAAGCGACTATTGGCAGAAAGGTGGGCTAGTGCAAAGATGAGTAGTGGGGGGGTTGAAGAGGGTTGGAATAGTTTTAAAAATGCAGTATTAGAATGTGGGGCAGAAGTTTGTGGTTATAGGAGGGTGGGGGCAGGAGGAAAGAGGAGTGATTGGTGGAATGATGAAGTAAAGGGTGTGATAAAAGAGAAAAAGGTAGCTTATGAGAGGTTTTTACAAAGCAGAAGTGTTATAAGAAGAGCAGAGTATATGGAGAGTAAAAGAAAGGTAAAGAGAGTGGTGAGAGAGTGCAAAAGGAGAGCAGATGATAGAGTGGGAGAGGCACTGTCAAGAAATTTTAATGAAAATAAGAAAAAATTTTGGAGTGAGTTAAACAAGTTAAGAAAGCCTAGGGAAAATATGGATTTGTCAGTTAAAAACAGAGTAGGGGAGTTAGTAGATGGGGAGATGGAGGTATTGGGTAGATGGCGAGAATATTTTGAGGAACTTTTAAATGTTAAGGAAGAAACAGAGGCAGTAATTTCATGCACTGGTCAGGGAGGTATACCATCTTTTAGGAGTGAAGAAGAGCAGAATGTAAGTGTGGGGGAGGTACGTGAGGCATTACGTAAAATGAAAGGGGGTAAAGCAGCTGGATTATTATTATTATAATCAAGGGGGAAGCGCTAAACCCGGAGGATTATACAGCGCCTGGGGGGGGGATGTGGAAGGCATTCAGGCTTAATTCGGGGAACTGGAGCACAGATCCAATTCTCTAAATCAAGAGCCCCTCACCAACATCAAGGAACCTTCCTTGAGGGGAAAGCAGCTGGAACTGATGGGATCATGACAGAAATGTTAAAAGCAGGGGGGGATATAGTGTTGGAGTGGTTGGTACTTTTGTTTAATAAATGTATGAAAGAGGGGAAGGTACCTAGGGATTGGCAGAGAGCATGTATAGTCCCTTTATATAAAGGGAAAGGGGACAAAAGAGACTGTAAAAATTATAGAGGAATAAGCTTACTGAGTATACCAGGAAAAGTGTACGGTAGGGTTATAATTGAAAGAATTAGAGGTAAGACAGAATGTAGGATTGCGGATGAGCAAGGAGGTTTTAGAGTGGGTAGGGGATGTGTAGATCAGGTGTTTACATTGAAGCATATATGTGAACAGTATTTAGATAAAGATAGGGAAGTTTTTATTGCATTTATGGATTTAGAAAAGGCATATGATAGAGTGGATAGAGGAGCAATGTGGCAGATGTTGCAAGTATATGGAATAGGTGGTAAGTTATTAAATGCTGTAAAGAGTTTTTATGAGGATAGTGAGGCTCAGGTTAGGGTGTGTAGAAGAGAGGGAGACTACTTCCCGGTAAAAGTAGGTCTTAGACAGGGATGTGTAATGTCACCATGGTTGTTTAATATATTTATAGATGGGGTTGTAAAGGAAGTAAATGCTAGGGTGTTTGGGAGAGGGGTGGGATTAAATTATGGGGAATCAAATTCAAAATGGGAATTGACACAGTTACTTTTTGCTGATGATACTGTGCTTATGGGAGATTCTAAAGAAAAATTGCAAAGGTTAATGGATGAGTTTGGGAATGTGTGTAAAGGTAGAAAGTTGAAAGTGAACATAGAAAAGAGTAAGGTGATGAGGGTGTCAAATGATTTAGATAAAGAAAATTGGATATCAAATTGGGGAGGAGGAGTATGGAAGAAGTGAATGTTTTCAGATACTTGGGAGTTGACGTGTCGGCGGATGGATTTATGAAGGATGAGGTTAATCATAGAATTGATGAGGGAAAAAAGGTGAGTGGTGCGTTGAGGTATATGTGGAGTCAAAAAACGTTATCTATGGAGGCAAAGAAGGGAATGTATGAAAGTATAGTAGTACCAACACTCTTATATGGGTGTGAAGCTTGGGTGGTAAATGCAGCAGCGAGGAGACGGTTGGAGGCAGCGGAGATGTCCTGTTTAAGGGCAATGTGTGGTGTAAATATTATGCAGAAAATTCGGAGTGTGGAAATTAGGAGAAGGTGTGGAGTTAATAAAAGTATTAGTCAGAGGGCAGAAGAGGGGTTGTTTGAGGTGGTTTGGTCATTTAGAGAGAATGGATCACAGTAGAATGACATGGAAAGCATATAAATCTATAGGGGAAGGAAGGCGGGGTAGGGGTCGTCCTCGAAAGGGTTGGAGAGAGGGGGTAAAGGAGGTTTTGTGGGTAAGGGCTTGGACTTCCAGCAAGCGTGCGTGAGCGTGTTAGATAGGAGTGAATGGAGACGAATGGTACTTGGGACCTGACGATCTGTTGGAGTGTGAGCAGGGTAATATTTAGTGAAGGGATTCAGGGAAACCGGTTTATTTTCATATAGTCGGACTTGAGTCTGGAAATGGGAAGTACAATGCCTGCACTTTAAAGGAGGGGTTTGGGATATTGGCAGTTTGGAGGGATATGTTGTGTATCTTTATATGTTTATGCTTCTAGACTGTTGTATTCTGAGCACCTCTGCAAAAACAGTGATAATGTGCGAGTGTGGTGAAAGTGTTGAATGATGATGAAAGTATTTTCTTTTTGGGGATTTTCTTTCTTTTTTGGGTCACCCTGCCTCGGTGGGAGACGGCCGACTTGTTGAAAAAAAAAAAAAAAAAAAAAAAAAAAAAACAAATTTTTCCCAACCAATTTTCTTTTTGGTTGGCTGTTATCACTAACCCTCTTAGGAGGGCCCATGGTGACTTATTGATACATATAAACAAAAAAATGCAAAGAAACATGAAATAGTTTACAGCGAAGTTCTGGCAGGTCATATTTGTTTGGTTGAGTGCAGAGCAAATGGTTGACTACTGAGTGATCTGTTTATCGAACAAAGCGTTCGAACACTGAATTGTAAGAGTACGGAGGTGTTTGAGTACTGAGGTTCTACTGTGTCTGGATATTTGGAAATGGACATGTCAGAAGATTATCTGTAAAAGACTAGATGAACCATAAAATAGACAAGGAGAAAAAAGTGGGTGGTGCATTGAGGCATCTGTGAAGACAAAGATCTTTATCCATGAATGGAACAGGAGGAATGTACCAGAGTATAGTGGTACCAAGACTGCTATATGGGTGTAAAGCAAGGGAGGGAGAGAAGGAAGGGAAGGGGTCATCCTAGTTAGGGCTAGAGTGAGGGGAGGGTAAAGGAGGTTTTCAGGGCTAGGGCCTTGAACATCCAACAGCTTGTGTGAGTGTTCTCAGAATAAGTAGAGAGAGTGGTTTTTATGACTTGATGTGCTATGGGAGTATGAGGAACTTAACATTTATGAAAGGATTTATGGAAATCAGATAACTGAACTTGAGTTCTGGTGATGGTTAGAATAGTACAGTATTTGCACTTGGGAGGAGGGGTGAGGAAAATGAAGTTTGTAGGATCATCTGAACTATGATGTCAGCACTCTTTGGCAAGACTGATTGAATGAATGTGTTTCCTCCATTTTCTTTGTGTGTACGTGCCTATTTGTGGTTGCAGGGGTCGTCACAGCTCCTGGCCCCGCCTCTTCACTGCTACTAGTCCACAGCTAGTATTTCCATCAAACCTTGTTGATGGAAATACTAGCTGTGGTTTAAGTTTGTTT